AGTGAGATCATGGGCTGAACAGAAGAGCACAGGGAGCTGTTGGCCAATCCTTAATACCCAGTGTAGCTTTAAAGCTCAAGGTTTTGAGTTTGCTGACTTTTATTTAAATATATTGTTCACCCCAAATGCTCCTGAACCTTAAATGGTCCCTTTCCAGCCTGAAAATCTATTAAGCATAGGACTTACCTAGAACTGTAAAAAAAAAAAAAAAAGAATTATTTAAAAGAAAACACTCATCACCATAGTTTTATTGCTAGACAAGGTTACAGGACTGAGAAGGGCTTTGAGTTGATCTGGAAAGATGGATTTGTTTTCACTGCTGTTATTTTTCTTCCCAACATTGCTGCAGTGTGTTTCCAAAATGGTAAGGCTGGGAGCTTTCCTTAAAGAAACAAAGCCAGAATATGCATTTAGCTGATGCTGTGATGTGACCTTCACTTCACAGGTCAGGTCACTGGAGGGAACGTGGAAAGGGACAGCAGCTGGGAAGCAAGAAAGAAGATGAAGATTGTGATCCCATAGAGAGGAGAACTCTTGGGACAGCGGAAAACTTATGAGGGGATTCTCAGGGGAAGGGCAAAGGTGAGGGAAATAGCGAGGGGATAATGTCACTCTCTGTCCAATGTGAGGGTGCTGCAAGGTCCAGGCACCAGCGACTGGGACAGAGGTTGTGGTGACTGTGTGGGCAGATCAGGGTGGCAGCACTGGGAAAAAACTTCTAGGGCACTGTGCCTTGGAGAACATCAAAATGTTAGAGACCTTTCCTTCTCTTGTCTGTGGAGACCAAATTGGCTCGGCTGTAACCCCCTCTCGGCTGTAACCCCCTCCCTGAGCTCATTTCCAGTAGCATTTCCAGCATCCCTTTGTTTCATTTTTTTCAGCCTGCAGTGCTTCTCCATAGCCTGGCCTTAAAGGCAGAAATCATGGAATAGAATCCTCTGAACCTTTTTTTTTTTTCCCCAAAAACTGGGCTCCCTGTCCCTAGAAAAGGAAATTTGCTTAAACTGCTGCAGAGCCCAGGCCAAAACCCATCCCCCTTACACAGCATGGGTACTCCAACAGGATTACAACATCCCTCCCACCTCAGATGTCCAAGTTCAGACTGGAGTGCTCTGTGGGGGCAGGCAAACACCCGCTGCCAATGGGGGCAGAGGTTGTCAGCTGTGCCTCTGCATATCAGCTGCTGGATGGGAATAGAAAGCACATTCCTGTCCCAACCTGTCCCTAGTCCCAGCTCCCAGACGGGCACAGAGCTCTCATGGGGCTGTGGGTGGTTCTTCTCTGTGCCTTGGTGTCATCGCTGCTCGGTGGCCTCTATGTCCTGGGGGTGTTTCGGAGACGGAGACCAGATGAGCCGCCCCTGGACAAAGGCACCATTCCCTGGCTGGGCTACCTGCTGGATTTCAGGAAGGACAGTTCAGAGTTTCTGAAAAGGATGTGGAGGAAACACGGGGATGTTTTCACGGTGCTGATCGGTGGCTATTACTTCACCTTCGTGATGGACCCCTTCTGCTTTGGCAGCATCGTGAAGGAATCACGGTCTAAACTAGACTTTAGGGCTGCTGCAACTCAGCTGGTCCTGCAGGTTTTTGGCTACAAGCCCAATGAATCCAGCCACAACGTAGCCCGTGAATCGAGCGTGAAGCACCTGACGGGAGAGGGGCTCAGTGTCCTGACTCAAACCACCATGGAGAACTTCCAGAAACTGATGCTTTTCAACCTGAGCCCAGGAGAGGAGAAGCGAGTGTGGCGGGAGGAGAACCTCTTCCACTACTGCTACAACATCGTCTTCAGAGCCGGGTACCTGGCTCTGTATGGCTCTGAGCCACACCAGGGGGCAGGAGACAAGGAGAAAGCTGAGGAGCAAGATCGTGTCCACTCCAACCATCTGTTCCAGGAGTTTCGGAAGTACGACCGCCTCTTCCCTCGCCTGGCCTTCTCTCTGCTGCCTCACAAGGACAGAAGAGAAGCCGAACGGCTGAAGAGGCTCTTCTGGAGTGTGCTGTCTGTGAAGAAGGCCTGGCAGAAGGACAATATCAGTGGGTGGATCAGTGATCAAGACCAACTTCTGGCAGAAAACGGTGTCCCCGAGTACATGCGGGATCGTTTCATGTTTATGCTCCTCTGGGCATCCCAAGGCAACACGGGCCCAACGGCCTTCTGGCTCCTCCTGTACCTGCTGAAGCATCCAGAAGCTCTGAAGGCTGTGAGAGGTGAGGTAGATAAAGTCTTGAGGGAGAATGGGCAGCAAGTGAAGGCAGGGAGCCGACCAGTTACCATCACTAGGGACATGTTGAACCAGGCTCCTCTTCTGGACAGTGCCCTGGAGGAGACCCTGAGGCTGGTGGCAGCCCCGCTGCTGGTCAGAGCTGTCCTGGAGGACATCAGCTTCAAGACAAGCAGTGGGACAGAGTACATCCTCCGCAAGGGAGACAGGGTGGCTCTGTTCCCACACCTCGCCGTGCAGATGAACCCAGAAATTCACCACGAGCCTCACAAATTTAAGTACGACCGCTTCGTGAACCCAGATGGCACCAAGAGGGATTTCTACAAAAATGGGAAGAAGCTGAAATATGTCAACATGCCCTGGGGAGCAGGAGTATCGACCTGTCCCGGGCGGTTCTTTGCCAGCGCTGAAATGAAACTCTTTGTGTTCTTGATGCTGAGCCACTATGACCTGGAGCTGGTCAATGAGGAAGAGGAGATCCCAGGGATAGACATCAGCCGCTGGGGATTCGGGACCATGCAGCCCGTTCACGATGTTCGGTTCAGATACCGACCACGCTTTTGATTTTGGGAAGCCCCCGTTGTGTTGTTTGTTCCGGTGTTACCTCTGAGCAAATTATGTGATCCCGTGGTTATCAGCTCCTGATCTGATCTTGTTTGCTTAACATTTATCATGGCTTGTGTTTTTACCTCCGTCTCACGTGTTGCTGCTCTGTGTCTCCAGTTGTTGTGGTTTTGGGATACGTGATAAAAGAGAGACAAAATGTGCCCTCTGGGGCTATTCCCAGCCCCATCCCTGTGGCCATCAGCCTGTTGAAAACCCAGAGGAGCACAGGGGCAAATTGACAGGTGGGAACCCAAATTCAGGGCTTCCAAGGAACAAGTATTTTGTCCAGGGCTGTCCCAGCAGAGCCATCAGCCCCGTGGTCCTGGCATGAGACCCCTGGAGATGTGGAGGATTTCTGTCAAGGGAGGGCAGACATCCTATGGTGTGTAGGGGAAGAGCATTTTGGGATTGCACAGGACTTAAAGTAGGATAGTTTTGGGGAGGAACCAAAGGGGGATAAAGGATGGATTTAGGTGATTTGGGGAGGAAAATTGAGAGGTAAGGGGATAAAAGGGGCTGGTTGTGTATAAATATGCTATACACTCCCTCCCCCTGATTTGTTTTAGTGTCTTATTAAATTCCTGTCCTTAAATTCAAGACCACAAGTCAAAGGAGCTGTGTGTCCATGGTGCCAGCACTGGCACTGGTGTGAGAGCAGTTGTACAAGCAAAGATCAGGCCAGATGAGCTGGAAAATAAGTGCCTTGGGAGTGTGGGGATGAGCTGTTGTGCACCAGCACTGGGACTGCATTATTTTGTTATCAGCTCCTCACTGACACATTTATTTACTTCCACTTATAAAGTACCATTGGCAGGATGGCACCAGCTTGTAGTGAACCTCTGAAAGATCAGAGAGCAGCAAATATCCTTTCCAGAGACATAAGAATTTCCATGGAGTATTCAAATTGTCATGCCTGTGGTCCTCTTCTTGTATCTGATGAGATCCCCAAAGGGAGCAGAGCTGGGATGTGCTGAGCAAGGACATACCAACAACTCCTTCCCATTTCATGTGTAAGAAAAGGTCAGATCTTGTCAATCATCTCATTTACCAGATCAGGGGGAGAAGAGCGTTGTGAACATCACTCAGAACCTGCAGGACCATTTTCATGTGCTTATGTGGCTTAGGAATGCAGGTGGTCACCTGCCTTTCCAGGTCTGCAGGAGGCTGAGCGTTCAAGACATCCCCACTCTCCCAGTTTTGACCCCATCCTCTGCAAATACCCAAGGAGATTGTAAGGAAAAGGATGGAGTGATGGGAAGGGGCTCAAAAACTCAAGTGGGGCATGAGAAAACTACCTCAATCCCTTATGGGCCACAGCCACTGCGACCTTATAGACCTCGAACATCTGTTTTATCTACTGGATCAATGCAAGATAAAAATTTGCCCCCTGCAAACTCTGCTTTGCTTTGTTCCCCTTCAATAATTAGAGTAAATTATTAGTCCTTACAGATGGTAAATCCCAGCCTTTCCTGTACAGAGAACAGTGGATTGACTTTAATGCTGACACTAACCTTGGACTTTGGAGATTATGTACGATCAAGGACTGAAACTCAAACATTTTCACAGATGTCCAAACATCAGAGGCAGATCCTGCTTTGTTCTGCAAAGGGCAGGGGGATGTTGTAACTGCACGTTGAGGGCAAACTATCCCAGCCTGCCAGACTGGGCATTAGCCCAGACCTTGTGGTGTGGAAATTCAGGCAGAAACTATCAAGCAGATTTGGCAGAACCAAGGAAAACCAAAACCACCTGTAACTGCACAAGGCTTGACTGTGACAGTTAATATTCCCATTATCAATTCCAGCACCTTTTCACAATTTTCATGTTGGTTCTCACCTCTTTTTTTTTGTCACCCCTGGGCTCGTTGTTTGGCTCTGCTACCAAGAATTAAATTTGAGCTCTTCCCAAGTTCTGGTCAATTCAAGCTCCAAACCATGCCCTGGAATGCCTTAGGATAGCTGGAGAGCTCAGAGCCATCATCACATCCTGGCCAAGTGATGTCCTCACTCCAAGGCTTTAGGAAAAGGATTTTTTGTGTGGATAGTTTGCATGGAGCTTGTTCCCTGCTGATACACAGTGTACATTGGTTATCATTTGTAGGGACCCCAGGTCAGAGTGAGGGTGAAAGACTGGGCTTGGGAAAGGGATATAAAAATAATGACAGTCATTCAGCAGAAAAATCTGGCTTTACTTGTTTGTCAGAATGGTTTATTTAACCAAACAGTATTGAGTCTATAAAAGACTTCAGACATGCTCAAATGCATGCAGTTGTGAGAAGCAAAAAAAAAAAAAAAAGTCATATATGGAAGAGTGTGAAAGCTCCAAATGAGTTAATCTGCAATTAAGTTTTATGCTTGGGTGGGTTCTCCACTGGCACTGAGCTTTCCATCCCAAAGTGCAACAGCAAGAGTAAAAAACCAGCCTGTGCCAACAAAAACCTGACTGGATTTGTGAGAGAAGTTAAATTGGAAGGAATCCAGGAATAAATTTGAAAAGTTCACTGAGGGGCAGCTCTCATTGTGGTGTCTGTCTTGTGTAACTCTTCTATCCCCTGAGAGAGCTGAGTGTGGAGTCTGTCCCTAAACCCCTGGTTTTCTCTCCTGCAGAGCTTAATGAAGACAATACTCCTTCAACAAAGTTTTACAACCTGCTGAGTCGGTGCCTGCTCTAGACAGCACAGGGAAAACGTTCCAGGTCACAGCTCCTGCTCTGCACACTGAGCAAGGGAAGGAGTCACAACCTGCATCCTTCAGGTTTGGAACAACAGGGGTTAAACATGTTGGGAAAGGCCATCCCTGGTTAAACAGCCTCAACTCTAGTATGAAACTGCAATGCATCAGGAACTGTTTTCTGTGTTCCTTCCTCTAAACACAGACAGATACAGCTCTGAGAAAGCCTCCACTTAATGCTGCTTGTGTGGAAAATCGAAGGAAGTCAGTGGCACCAACAGATACATCAATCACTGCAGAGAAACTCGAAGGAGCACTGAGGTTATGAGTACAAAGCCATGACACAGCCAACACCACCCATTGCAGAGGAAAGCAGGGTTGGAAGGAGAAACAACGTGAAATGTCAGGATTTTTTTAAAGAATTAAAACACGGAGCCTTTGGCACATCTCTGGGTAGAAGGGCCTGTGCACTCCCCAGGGAAGAGCAGCCTGGCTTCAAAGTGCCAAAGGACAACACGTGCATGTTACAAGGCCGTGGTCACTGGTGCATTTGCTGCCTTCCCTCTCTGCTGGCCCAGTTACCCAACAAGTCACAGAATACGCAGGAACAGCCTGTGGCAGGCAGGACACACCAGCACAAACACAGGGAGCAGTGACCCCAGCTCAGCTGATGGACACCAGCTTGGCAGGATGGTTTAGTACCAAACACTGAGTGCAGAAGGGACAGAGGGGCAGTTCCTGCCTGTCGCATCCACGTCACTGTGCAATCATGAGGCCGTACTTGGAGCACAGCAGGCCCCTCTTCTTTTCCCTTTCCATGAGGAAATTCCTCAGTTTGGTGGTGGGGAAGGTAACCAGTGCTTGCTGCCTGCTGTCCAAACCTGTCTCCTGGAGCCACGGGCTCTGAAGGCACTCGGAGGCTGATGGTCTTCCCCTGGAACAGGAAAGGTGAGGAGGTCAGTCAGCCCTGCTGGCTGAGGAGGCTCCTTGCACATGGAGAAAAAAGAGGGCCAATAGCCAGGATCTGCCCCAGCTGTGCAGCTGGGAGAGCAGACACCACCTTACCAGGGGTTTGCACAGAGAGTGCTCTGGAGGAAGGACACAGCCCCCCCAGACAGACCCGCGTAGCACCGTGTGAGCTTCACTTTGCCCTTCCTGGTGGTTCTCAGGAACTCACAGGGGACGTCGGAGCTGACGGGGTAGTTGGCACTCAACCTGTCCCAAAAGAAAAGAATTGATCAGAGTGAAGCTGCCTCCAGCTCTGGAGTCTCCAGCATAAGAAGGGTGTGGACTTGTTGGAGCGAGTCCACAGGAGGCCCTGGAGATGCTGGAGCCCCTCTGCTCTGGAGCCAGGCTGGGAGAGCTGGGGGTGTTCACCTGAAGAAGAGAAGGATCCAGGGAGACCTGAGAGCCCCTTCCAGTGTCTAAAGGGGCTCCAAGAGAGCTGGAGAGGGACTTGGGACAAGGGCCCAGAGTGACAGGACAAGGGGGAACAGTTTTAAACTACAATAAAGGAGCTTTAGATTAGATATTAGGAAGAAATTCTTTACTATAGGGGTGGTGAGGCCCTGGCACAGGTTGCCCAGAGAAGC